CGGAGCCCGGGGAGGGCAAAAACGCCCCCCCCCCCATCGTGGTGCAGGAGGTTGATGAGGCCACGCCCACCATGGCCACGCCCACCCAGCAACCAGGCAGAGAACTGGTTGCTAAAATTTTTGAAGGGTAAATTTAAGGTGATAAGAGGAAGCTTTGCAGGTGTTCCCTGACTGACAACAATTCATTTAGCAACCATTTGAAGTTACAATGGCACTGGGGGATGGGGTGGGAGGGCTTAACGAAAAGTCCTCGTATTTACAACCCTCACAACATCCCCATGAATAATGCGATCAAAATTCTGCTGCTTTGGCAACAGGCATGCAATATATGATGGTTGCAGCATCCAAGGGCCAAGGGATCATCACCAGATGCAACCTTCACAGCTGGATTCTGATCAGCAAAATCAATAGGGACAGCCAGATTTGTTTAATGACCATATTGATTCACTTAACAACCGTGGCAAAAAAAAAATCATAAAAGTCATTTTAACAACCTCAGCAATGGATATTCTGTTCCCAATTGCATTAATCACGGGGAGGCCTACCCATGTAATGATCCAAAGAATGTAAACCATCATCTTAAAAGGTAAATTTGCTTGTAACTCTCCTAAATCTTACAGCAGGGGTCCCCAAACTTAGCAACTTTAAGACTTGTGGACTTCAACTCCCAGAATTCTGGAAGAATTCTGGACTTCTGGAAGTCCACAAGTCTTAAAGTTGCCAAGTTTGGAGACCTCTGTCTTAGAGTCTTAAAAATTATTCTTTATGTAAAGATCTCAAAGGCAGAGCTGCTGACTTTCTGGTCACAAAAACTTTACCCAGATTAGCTACAAAATTCACAACTCCATGTGTGTATGATGTAAATCTCGGTTACACCTTCCCTTCGGTTCATCAGCTTCCAGCTCCGGGTGTTGTGCAAATCCAGCCTTGCAGGGTTTTGTTTAGGAATAGCTGTTTTGTGCACACGCAGAAAGCGAATTAACTTGGCAACCAAGTTAAGTTCAGTGTTCAGTGATTGCGGCCTCCGCCTTCAAGCAGGGCCACCTCCCAGTTCTGTGGTTTTCTTTGAAAGAGTTGGCCTTATCAGCAAGGGCTGAGCAATTCTTTTCGTCTGGCGGATTATTGTACCTTCATTTTGACTACAGGTCAGAAAGATGGAGGCAGAAGTGAACGGAGCTCCTGCACGTTGAACTGTTCTTTGAAGTACAGAATTGAATTTTCTTGCTATTGCCCGTTTTATTTCAAGGACTGGCAGAGGGAATCTCGCCATGTTTCAGGCAGGCCACTGGTGGCTGACAGCTGTATATCTACCATCTCCAAGGAGAGTGTCATATTTTGCTTCAGTCCTTCCCGTCAAATACATTAACTTTGCAATCTTTTATCAGAGCAATTAAATATATTCTTTTTTACTGCTAGTGCCTGGTAGAATCTTTTTTCCCCTCTTTCTTTCTTTCTTTCTTTCTTTCTTTCTTTCTTTCTTTCTTTCTTTCTTTC